ACATTTGTCTTAATCAACTGTACTTCTTACTTGAATTTTGAGTGACCATATTTGTTTTTTAATATACCCAGAAGATGGATGTAGGGATTCCTTAGGTACCTATATTAAAGTAAATCACTGATGTGGAAACTAGTTTCAGTTTTCAGTTTGCTTTGTAGTCTTCAATTCACAGATTGGATGTGCAGGTAGATTAGAACCAGGGGAATGAAGGGAAACTGAGATAAATGAGTGATGAAAATGTCAACTAAAATATGAGAGAAAACACATTTTAAATGTATAGTGACTTGATAACTAGAATTATTTGGGTATTTTCTGTGGGAATCACCTTGCTAAAGATTGTCATTTTGGTTGTGTCTCATGTCAGTAGGATACACTGAAGAGGCAGAGGCAGGAAGCCAGCCTGGGCTACACCCTAAAAAAGCATATGTGTGTGTGTGTGTGTGTGTGTTACCTGGTATTTAAACTACTGTATATTAAAACATATTAAACAATATGGTATTAAACACACACACATACATATATATATATATATATTTAAACTACTGGTATTTAAACTACTATATATTAAAACATATTAAACATATATATGGTATTAAACACACACATATGTTATCTGGTATTTAAACTACTATATATTAAAACATATTAAACATATATAGTATTAAACACAGGCACACACACATTATATATATGTTATCTGGTATTTAAACTAATTGCTTGCTTTCTCCAGCAGGATTTGCAAGTGAGACCTTTGAGCTAGCCCTGGGTTAGTTTGAGTGCTTCTATAGAAGCAGCTGTGGCATTGGTTAAGTTACTTACTCCCAGCCTCATCTCCTCAGGTATGAAAGGGAGGGAAGATAGTTCTGTGTAGCTGGTGTCCTTCCTCAGGACCACACCAGGCCTGCCACCGTGCCCAGCTTTCTTTAATGACAGGCTCACTTCTTGCATTTTCAGGGAAGTTTTTGCCCAAACCCAAGTCTCAACACCACAGCCTGTCATCAGTCAAAAATAGTATTCTGTGATAAAACTAGATAAAATCAGCTCACAGCTCAGTCTTATAAATGTTTTCTTAAAAAAAACAAAAACAAATGTCATGCTTGGATATGCAGCAGTTATACAAATTTCCCATTTTCTCACACTGTATAATAGAAAGATGTGTAAATTAAGGCAGTACAATAGGTTTCACTACTTCATTGAATATCCTTTACATGTTTTTACATTTTTTATTTTGTGTGTGTATATACATATGTGTGTCATGATCTATGTGTAGAGGTCAGAGAACAACTTGCAGGAGTTGGTTTCTCCTTCTACCATGTGCCAAGGACCAAACTGTGGTTAGTGGAAAGCGCCTTTACCACACCAAGGCATCCCACCAGCCCCTCATCAAATATTCTTGATGAGCCACAAATGTGTAGCATAGTTTGGTGTCACTCCTCTGACTTAAGCTCATAATTTTATTCATTGTTTTTGCTCCATCAGTGTAAATGCCAACACTGAAGTGTTAGTAATGCTGTGGCAGTAGTTTAACATAACAGATTTCCCTAAAAGGGTCTTAGGGATACCTAGGAGTCCCTGTGAGAACTGCTAAGCTAGAATAAAACCTGTGTATAACATACTGGGCATTCCATAAATTGGGGTTGTTGTTGTGGAGATACTACTGAACTCTGATACTTCCTAGTTTTCATTTCTAAAATAAGTTCCAACTAATGGTGCCCTGGCATTCACAAGATGATTTACTAAACTGCTACATTTTGTTTATAATTTTATACTTGTTTTGTCAGTGTTTTCCTGTCAGCCTCAAGTCCTTGTGCTTAGCAAAAGAAGAAAAGCACCCTGACTTTCAGATTCTTAGGGTTAGCAAACATATGATCTTCCAAAGAGGGTGTCAGACTGGGATGGCCTTAGGTAAACTTATGTAAAAATGCTAATGTCTTAGTCCCATTTCATGTTTACCCTATAAAACAAATTTTAGTTTTCACAGCCTTGTTGATTAGGTTGGCCTCTTTATAATCAGAAAGTTACTTTTATTAAAAATTAGAGGGTGTGGGTTGGGCATGGTGACACACAATTTTAATTCCAGCAGAGGCCGGCAGAATAGGATGAGATTGTGGCCAGACTATCCTGCACAGCAAGTTCCAGGCCAGCTGGGGCTACAGGGAGATCCAGTCTCAATAAAACAAAACAACAACAAAAAAGTAGAGGGTGAGAGTTACTTTTGTTAGTTATTTTAGTGATATTGTATAGAGAAGTATCTAAGTACAGATGTTTTACTCTGAACATTAATTCTGTTAAAGGCCATTCAGTGGACTCTTCCAAGAATCATTGTTTAGAATAAAACATATTTTTAAAATAAATAGTTTATTATTTGAGAATTTCATACAATGTATTTTGATCATATTTACCCCACCTTCTCCCCTTAACTCCTCTCACATCTACTCCCCCACCTTCTTACCCAACTTTGTGTTCTCTTTTTAAAAATGTTTTTAAATTTAATAACCCATTGACTCCAATTTGTGCTGTCCACATACTACTGGAGCATTGTTGACCTACCAGAAGCCACACCTGTAAAGAAAACTGGCTTGCCCTCCCCCAGAAGCCATCAACTGTGCATAGCTCCTCATTTAGGTGTAGGGGCTCATGAACCCCTCCCTGCTTCATTCTGGAATGTTGACTGGCTTGATCTTGTGCAGGCAAACACAGCTGCTTTGAGTTCATGATGCCATGGTCCTGTCCTTTCCAGAAGACATTGTTTTGCTCAGGTTCTCCCTGAGCTCTGGTACTTAAATTCTTTCTGCTCCCTGTTGAGAGATGGTCCCTGAGCCTGGGGGTCCAGGCATGATATAGATGTCCTTTTTGTGGCTGAGTACTCCGCTGACACTGTCTGCACTTTGCCCAATTATAAGCTTTTGTGGGAGCTGCCATCCATAGCACAAAGAAGTTTCTCTGAGATCTTAGAGTTGCATTAATACTGGTCCACCCCTAAACCTGCTGTCTTTAACATGGCTATTTTAATATTGGCTTTTGGTCCTAGTCTTAGCTAACTTAAAAAAAAAAAAAGAAAAGAAAATATGAATTTGGAATCTGAAATTATATATTACTTAGAAGAAACAAGTCAGATTGTTAATTTAAAATTTTCCCAAGCTTTTATTAAAATTAAAAAACTGGTGTCTTTCATTGTTAGAACTGAGGGTATTGAAGTTGAACTTACAAAAACACAATATGGCATCATGATTAAGAGCATGGACTTGGGCCCAGTACAGCTCAGTGGTAGAGTGCTTGCCTGGCAGGTGGAAAGCCACTCAGCTCCACTGTGGGAGAAGAGCATAGGTGTGACTCACACAGATCTGGTTCTGTGCATGCTACCTCTGTACTCTTCCCTAAGTTGTTTAACCTTTCTAGGTCTGTTTCTGCATCTACAAAACAAAGATGGTAGGAAATTCCTCAGAAGACTGATGTACATATTAAATGAAGTAATACAAACATTTTACAACTTGAATATTCAGCCAATAAATTTATAGCTAATTAATAGTAGTTTGACTTCTGTGCTATCCTAATACTCTCTCACTGTTGTAACTCAATTGATGTTCTAATACTCCTTTGAGTTAGGTAAAATGGAGTATCTCATTACATAAATGAGGAAACAGATAATGAACAGTCAAGAGGTTTGCTTAAACTTACCCAGTAGTGATCTGTGCAGGACCTTTTTTTATATGTATGTGTGTATGTGTCTTGTGAGTTTATGTGCACCATGTTCATACAGGAGCCCAAGGAGGTCAGAAGGCATTAGATCCCTTGAACTGGAGTTAACAGGCAGTTGTGAGCCATGATGTGGGTGCTAGGAACTGAACCCAAGTCCTGTGAAAGATCAGTAAGCATTCTTAACCACTGAGCCGTCTCTGCAGCCCCACGGGATTTTTCCATTGTAACATTTTCTCAGTAATGATTATATAGCGGGGGAGGTACACAAACTCTACAAGATCATTTAAATAATTTTGTTTTCCTTTTCTCTTCCCCCTACCTCAGGCTTTAAAAAAGAACTTCAGGACTTGGAAACCAGCTATACATTTCATGACCTCCACCCAGAATCACATCTACAAATAAGAAGTCATTTGATAAAAAGGTAATCAGAGATACTTAGAAATAGGAAAAGCTTGGTTCCTAAAATGTATGTACTGTGGGAACTAGCAGAAGGACATTCATATATATTACTAATCTCAGAGCATTACAAGGCTTATTTTATTGGGAATCTTTAAGAGCTTGTGGACCTAAAGGTAGAACTCCTACAAAATGCCAGGTCCAATACCTAATTATTTTAATATTCATACTGTTCTTATGAGGTAGGGGTACAGTAGTACCAGTGTATACTTTTTTCCTTATACTTGCAGATGTTTAATACCTTTTCCATCTTAGTTAAGCAGTTATTTTCTCTCTTTGACACCATTTGCAGTTCATGCTGTGAACAAGCCAGCATGACATTTTCCTTCAGGATTTCACAGATAGAAGATTCTTTTTTGTAGGTATTAGCAGCATTGACCACTCCCCCCCCCCCCAAGTTTCCCTCAGTCAAGAACTTTTACCCTTTCATTGAAAGGAAGCACTGTACCACTCCTCTTTGCTGCGGGTTCGCACACAAAGAGAACAAGAGAGGCAGGGAAAATCCAGCATGCCAAGAGAGTGCAGTTAACGAGGGAGCAGTTAAGGGTATCCCCTGGGTCGTCTGAGAAATTAGCAAAGAGTAGAGCAAACGGTGGTCGAACACAAACAGGCGAAGAGATCGAATGGGAGATGTTAACAGATACTTCATCAGGTGTCCAAGTTGGGTCTGTGACACCCAAGGAACCTGTTATTGAGTTATCGCCCATATATGTACCATTAAACATGGCTCCACCTAATACAAAAAGAGAGGACGCAAATCCAGGTAAGCCGCCAGCCCGTAGAGCTCCCAGGCCCTCCGACACTGTCTTTACACCTGTGGTCAGGGTAGACATAGGAGTAAGGTTTTGTAGAGACAAGGTGTCTCCAGACTGCCAGGGATGAAGCCTGCGGGCGTCCATCATAATCCGTAAAGAGGAGTGTACCTCCAGGAGTGAGCGGGAGGCAGTGTTCGCATGAACAGGAAAGCGCAATGTGGTAGGAAGTTTATGGGTGGGGGGGCACCGGGTCCATGGATGATGCCTGACCCTTGGGGGAGAGGGGTGGTGACCCCAGGGGACACAATGAACACTGTAGTCTCAGAAGTGTCTTTTACTAAGGGAGATCAGATTTTGAGGCCCCATGAGGAGCCCTGGCTCTAGTTTCCACAAAAGTCACCTGTTGTGATATTAAAGAGGGAGTGACAGTGAGGCATTAGGGGAGGAGAGGTTAAGGGCTGGGCTGAAGGAGAGCGATCCTGCAAGGGACCATGTGCTGTTTATGGGAAAGGATGCATGAATCAATTCCATGGTGGGGAGACCGAGGGATTCATTAGTAGTAAAGAGAACGGAAAGCGGGTGACTGTTCATCTATAGGGAGGATCAGAGGTGGTAAGGGGACCAGTGCCCAGAGATCTGAAGCCTGGGGAGAAGCACAGCCAAAGGACAAAAGGGTGCCAAGGATAACGAATCCGGAAAAGGGTGTCATGGCTTATCCAACTCGCAGTCAGCCCGGTCTCCAGATGGGTTTCTGTAGCTGGTCGGATGTCTCTCGATGGAATCCAGATGGGGGCCGTAGCGTCCTGTGGAAAAATACAAGCGTATTCTCATCCTCGTGTCAGGATGGGGCCTGGTTTCTGCCATAGGGATGAAATAGGATCCCTCCATCTAACTACTGGCACAGGCGTAGTCCGAGGCAAGAAGGACCAATGATTGTATGCTGGACTGAGACCCCAGTCGTCAAACATGAGGAAATTAAGATGGAACAGAGCCTCAGTAAGAGCCAGGTGAGGGTCGCTTTTGGCCTCAGCCGAGGGGCTTTTAGCCAGGAGGGACTTAAGTGTCCTGTTGGTCCTTTCGACAATGGCTTGTCCTTATGGGTTATAGGGAATACCAAGGTATGTTTGATTCCCCAGGAGGAAACAAATTTATTGAATTCTTGAGAGGAATAAGCGGGCCCATTATCAGTCTTAAGTGCCCAGGGTACACCCATGATTAACATGGCGGACTTTATAGCTTTAATGGCATGTATAGTCTTTTCCCCTGAGAGAGCTAAAGCATAAGTAAGGGAGGAACATGTGTCAACTATAATGTGAACAAATCTCAATTTCCCAAAAAGGGGGGTAGTGAGTCACATCCATCTGCCAAATGGCATTGGATATCAAACCACGGGGGTTCACTCCACCCCTGTTAAGGGGCCCATGATGCATAAGTGGGACACAGGTAGAACATGAGCAGAAGCACATTGGGACACGGGGATTTCTGGGAGGAGTTTATGAATACTCTGAGGGGACAGGTGGAATTGTTGATGTAAAGCTCTTGCTTGCTCTAACAGGCTAGACTGGACTGTCATGATCAGGGCATCTATGGCGGCATTCCCCCAAGCTAGGATTCCAGGAAGTGCGGTATATGAGCAGATATGAGAGATGTATCATGAGTAACTTCTATTTTGTAGGCATTCCTGTAACTTGACCATAGTGAGGTGGAGTGGGGTGGAGGAGTTTTTAACATGAGAAAAGGTGATGGCCTTCGCAACCTCAACAGCATAGGCGCTATCAGAAAAGAGATTTAGGGGTTTGTCCTGGCACTCTGCTAAAGCTTTAAGTATAGCAAGAAGTTATCCCAATTGGACAGAGCCAGGATTAGGGATGATGTGGGTGATGTCCTTTTTTCCAGGACGATGTATCAGGACCCCAAAGTTCTTCTTGTTAGCCTCCGAAAAGGCAGTGGTCGCTTGGGGAATTGGGGAAGAGAAAGGGGTGCTGTATAGCTTAACCTCAAATGGCAATGTGAGAAGGGCCTGAATTCTTTTGTCTTGGGGCAGGTGATTGTCAGTGGCACCAGGGAAGCCTGACATCATAGTCTAAAAACTTATGGAATTGGCCCAGAGGGCCTGCCTATAGGTTACATAGGGGAAAGGGGAGCACAATAGCATCGGGTTCTCTACTGAAGGTTTTTTGAGCTTGAGTGCGCAGTTTTCCAAGTTAAAGGCCAGAGCAAACTTGGAGGAAACCTGCTGGAGCTCTGAGTATGAGAGATCGACCCAGATAAGTGGCCCAGTCTGCCAAGGGGCACCAAGAAAGCCAGATGTCAATAGCACTAAAGCCTGTAGGGATTGTAAGGGCTCATACCTGTCGAGGGTTGTTGAAGGGAGTAACCCAGTGATCTTTTGTAATAAGGCAATGGCCAGGGGAGTTGGGTTAATCTTTGCTGAGGGCAGGTGGGGCCTCCAAGAGAGAAAACAGAACCCTCAGTTCCTCCGAGGGAGTGGGCAAGAACAGTTTAAGCCAATTTATGGTGCCACAGAGTTGTTGAAAATTGGCTAGTGTATAGACCAGCTTTGAATTAAAGACAGGGGCCATAGGGTGTACGCCAGCCGAAATGGTATGCCCCCAAAAGGCATAAGGAGGCACCTCCTGTAGCTAATCTAAGGCGATAGACAAGCCAAGGGACGATAGGTGGGAGAGTAAGTCTCTGGTTACCTTGCAGAGAAATTGTGGGTTAGGGTGGGACAACAGAATGTCATCCATATAGTGAATAAATTGTACACTAGGAGGGATGGCTGAGGTGGCTCGTGAGACAAAAAGCTGACAGATAGTAGGACTATTCTTCATTCCCTGGGGAAGGACTTTCCATTGATATCTGAGGGCCAGCTTGTGGAAGTTCGGTTCCCACATCATAAAGGCAAAGTGATCACAATCTTGGGGGTCCAGTGGGATTGAGAAGAAGCAATCTTTAATATCAAGTGTTATAATAAGAAGGAGGAATAGCGCCAGGGTGGGGCAAGCTGGCCTGTGTCGAGCCCATTTTTTCCATTTGGTCATTAATGGCGCTTAAGTCCTGAAGCAATCTAAAACAGCCTTTATTTATTTATTTATTTTTAAATAACAAATATTGGGCTATTATATTTACTAGTGGATGTTTCCAAATGTCTGAGGTCCAGCTGTTCCTGGACCAAATTTTTGAGGATAGATAACTTAGGTTCTATAATAGGCTACTGCTCCACCCAGATCACATCTGTCGAGAGCCAGGTAAGAGCGATTGGTGTAGGAGACTCCTTACGGGATGTCCCAGGGAGGGTAGTGGCCCTTAGAATTGGGGGTGCTGGTCAGGGCTCCAGTTTCTCCCAGAGAGGTCAAGGTTATCATGGGCTATGACGTCATCCTAAAAGGCCTGATCATCTGTGGTAAGGACCACACCCATGTCCTCCAGGACATCTCTACCCCACAAGTTGGGGGGGACATCAGCCACTATGGGAGTGAATGTGAACTTACTCCCATCTAAGTCCTTCCAGTGTACTGGGCAGACAACCAGCTTTGTGTCCTGGCTGCCACCCACTCCCTTAATGGGTGGGACAGGCCGATATTTCCAATGGTGGAACCGAAGAGACTCGTTCTTGGTGATGATGGTAACATTGGCTCCCGTGTCCACTAGGCCCTTCACAGCGATCCCATGCAGGAATAAGGGCATTAGGGAGGAGTGATTAAGAATTGGAAGGGTCCATAAAACCTTTCTTGTTCCCCCTCTTACTTGCGGGGCTGAGGGGCACCCCAGGTGGAGTTTAAAGGAACTGAGTCTGATTTGGGCCGTGACCTACAATCTTTTGCCCAGTGAAATCCCTTTTTGCATTTGGGGCAGTGGATCTTGGGACGAGTCCCGTTGTTCGGGTGGTCCGTATGGAGGTGTCCTGTCCTCCCGCAGTTCCAGCAGCCATCTTTTGAATCGGAGGGGGTGGGCCTTCCTTGTAATAAGAGCGCCTCTAAAGAGGCAGTCAGGGCCTCGATGGGCCCTGTCCTGGGGTCTAGGTCCCTAGTGGCGAGTACCCATTTATGAATATCATAATTGCGGACAGGTGCGATAGCATTGCGGGTAGTATTTAGACCTCCTCATGCCAACTGTTCGACGAGCATATCTCTAGTGGTCCCAGACTCCACTCTCCGTTCCACCAGTCCAGTAACTCGGGTGAGGAAGTCCTTGAAGGACTCCCCTGGCTGCTGAATCAAATTGTGGAAGAATGCCTGTGGGTCACGGGAGGAGCAACATTTAAGGTCCTTGAAAGTCAGGTCACTAACTTGTTGGTAGTAAGCATGAAGGCCAATAGTGGACTGGGAAATGGGGTCAATATATTGTCTACATCCTGTGAGCATATCCAGAGTAATATTAAGGCCATATTGAAGGTTGAGACATGCCTGATTTTCAGCCTCATTGTCATAAGCCGAACGCCAGCTCAGGAAGACTGAGGGCTCCAATACCACCTTTAATAAGTTATACCAATCGTAATGGGTCTGTAACTGCATGGCCCATTGGCGGAGAACTTGCTCAAAATATGGGGAATCGGGGCCTGACTCATTGGCGTCTTTGCGGATGAGTGGAAGGTCTGTGAGAGGGGTAGGCACCCATGACTGTTGCGCAGCGTTGGGGCTGACATTAACTGGAAAGGCAGAAATGGGACAGCAAGGGGCAGTAAGGGGTGGGCAGGCCATGGGGGGTTATAATGAGCGGGAGGTGCATCGGAGCAGGCGGAACGTAGTTCCTTCCAGGGGTACTGGGGTGGTGGTGTCTCTGTTGTGGCTTTGAAAGCGGGGTCTGAGGTAGGGGCAAGGGGTCCCCTTCCTCGTCTGGATCAACCTCAAGGCTGGTTCCCATATCAGGGTCAGTGGAGGTTGAAGTAATGGCAAGGTCTACACTGGCCTGATCCTGACAATGCTTCTTCTGGGCTGAAATGATGTCTTCAGGGGAGGAGGACTTAAGGCTGGCAATGATGGCTAAAAGGATTGGGACAAACAAGGCAGGGGGAACAACTCCTGACCCTACTTCCCTTTTTCAGGCCACGAAAAGGACCCGCATCCAGAGGTCAGGATCCCACATATTCTCAGGAGAGACCCAAGGGGCCAAGTTAGTGGCCTCATCCCAGAAATTTTCAATATCTTTTGGTTTCACTTTCAGTCCCCGAGTTATAAGGAGTGATTTGAGCGCTGCCACTTGTGGCTCCTTGCCCTGTGGTGGAAGGTTGCCCATCGTGGGAAGGTCCTGTGAAGGGAAACTCGCCACAAAAGTAAAAGGCAAGGGTGACTACCAAGAGGGCACAAATGAAGCAAACAAGGACCGTGAGCCACTCAGACGTAAACTGCCCCAACATGAAAAGGTGTATTGGATCCAAATGTCTTGTGCTTAGTGAGGGACTTCTGAGGGCCATGACACCCTTGGCCGTATGCTCACATGGTGTCTTTGGGACAGGCAAAGGCAACAGGATGACCCGAAGCCTGGGCTCTGAGTTCGGGTGGATCAGTCCTTATGTGAACTCACCGGGACAAGCCAAGGAATAAAAGGTGTCGACGTGGGCTTTGGGACCACGCAGCGGAGTATGCCTTCCTGATTTAACAACAAATATGACAAACAGGGTAGAGGGGACAGAGGAGGGGGCCACTTGCTCACCCTTGAGCAGCCAAAGCGACAAACAAAACCCGGGGCCTACTCCAAACGAACCAAAGTTGGGGGCATCGCCAATGCCGGGGGGCCGGGAACCTTGTTCGGGCGCCAGCTGTTGCAGGTTCTCTCGCAGGTCCAGCCCACGAGGGACTGCAGGGAACGAGGGTTCTGGCCGAGGAGGGGTGAGTGGTGCAGATTCAACACAGAGACACTGGGAGTCGGGTAGAAGCAGGCACTAGGCGAGGTGCTGCAGACTCATTTATTGCTGGGAAGGGCAGGCCTTATATATCCTCCTGCCCGCAGTGCCCCATAAGCTGGTGTGTCGCTCCCTGATAGATCCCCTCACCCAGGCCGCTCACGTCATCAGTCTCTAGGTCTGGGGGCAGATTATAGGTTGGCTCTTTTGTGGAAGCGCAGGCTGTGCTCTCAAGGCGGAAGCTGTGCTCTCCAGTGCGGCCTGTGCTTAGGTCTGGCACTTCACCTCCTACATATCAGAATTTGAATATATCCATCTCTGCTGCCTTTAAACTTTGTACTATTGGTGGGAAATGTTTTAGAGTATTGTTTGCTTATAAAATTTCCTTTCAACGTATGATATTTTGTCATAAATAAATGTTTTAGTGTTTTTTTAACGGTTACATTTCTGAGTGTTAGAAACATGATTTGTGGGGCTAGAGGTCTAGTGAAATCATAGTGTGCATGCACAGACTCTGGGTTCAGTCTCCATCTACCAACACCCCCCCACACACACACACACACAGGTGAAGGTACAGATTTTGATAAGATGATGTTTCAGGTATGTATGTAGGTTTGGGATCAGAGGGATGAAAATGTTGCTGGTTATAAAATGGTCCCATTTCTGCCGCTGTGCTCTGAAGATAATATGAACTATATATTGGGAAAATTAAACTACAGGACAAAAACTAATTTTCCCTCTGTTTCACATACGTGCATATGACATTTGACTTTATTTTTGTTTTCAAATTGCAGGTCGCATATTCGTGAAACCAATAACAAGCTATTTCCTTCAGCCAGTCCACAAACAGTTAAGGACCATACTGCGAGAGAGCATGTCCACCCGTCAAATGAACTGAAAGCAGAAAAACCAAATGGTTGCAAGTCTTCAGAATGTAGTATAGAAAATTCTGAAAGAACGGGCTTGCCTTCTCAAGATGATAGTATTTCGATGTCCGGGAAGAGATTCAACAGTAATGAAGCAGTCTCGTCATCTTCATTGCATTCGCACATCAGGACTGTTGTGTTAAAGCCAGAACGTAGACCCCTCATCCCACAGCAGAATGCCACAAAACAGTGTTCAGAGAGAACTTTATCCAGAGAACACGTAACTCAGTCAATCTGCAGACCTGATGGTTGTCAGATGCCAGAACTTCTTTGCCACAATTCACCACCCCCTTTGCCACCAAAGAAATATGCTCTGACCAGTGTGCCACAGTCAGAGAAAGCTGAATTTATATCTGATACCAGACTTACAGATATATTTAAAGCTAATTCCTCCAGTCTTCCAAAGAACGATGTAAGTACAGTTTCAGAACCAGCTTCAGAAGTGATTGCATACATGAACAATGAAAGATGTAAAGAAACTGTTCAAGGGAAGCTGCATCCTGACCACTCGTCAGACCTCCTGTACAATTCGCTGACTCTTGATTTTCAGGCACACTCAGATACAGCTGTTGATGTATTTTGCCAACCAAATCAAGACTCTACTTCTGTGTCTTCAAATGAGACCGTTTCATTAACGACCTATTTTTCAGTTGATAGTTGCATGACTGATACATACAGATTGAAATACCATCAGAGACCCAAGCTCTGTTCCTTTCCAGAGGGTGAGGGCAGTGGCTACTGTAATGATAATTCACCCTCTCAGACTGAAGGAGTAGAGGGACCTTTGTTGCATAATAGTCCACCTGGTTCAAGCTGCCCTTCTGAACAGAGATACAAACCTAACGTACATTACAATAGATAAATGGTGAAATCAGCAAGCCCGTTCTCACAAGTCATTAAAATATAGCAGCTGACCAAATCACATAAAATTAAAACTGGGGTTTTTGTTTTTTGAGACAGGGTCTCCCCATGTAGCCCTGGCCTGGAATCTGCTGTGTAGACAAGCCTGGCCTCAGCTCACGGAGATCTGCCTGCCTTGCTTCTCTGCCTCCCAAACGCCGGAGTTAAAAGCATGCACCATGTCCAGCAAACTGGCTTTTTAAAAAATTAGTCATGTTAACTTTTTATTATTTTACTTTACAATAATCAACTTACTAAATATTAGTCTTGGCATACCTTGAAAAATGGGAAAGTAGGGAACATAGAATTGCCACATGTAACAGTTGAATAAATACTAAATTTGTCTGTTATTTGGCTAGTACACCCATAGGTATTAAACTAACCAGAACTCAGATGTAGGTGGTATACTTTACTAATTTGAAAATGCAGTTTGTCTACAGAAAGCAATATTTGCTTCTCACAGTGCACTTTCTACTGGGTAACCACAAGATGGCTGTACCCATTTGTGTTTGACTTCTGTGATAGTCTAGTGTGTGATCCTTTCAAGTGTCTTAAAAATTGTGACCCGTGAATTTGGTATCATTTGGAAAGCATTTGCCTTAATGATTAACAATTTTTAAATAAAATCTCAAGGCCATATAAAACTTACTTTGTTCCTAGAACTTTTTAAGAATACCTAGCTTCAAGTGTCTTAAAAATTGTGACCCATGAATTTGGTATCATTTGGAAAGCATTTGCCTTAATGATTAACAGTTTTTAAATAAAATCCCAAGGCCATATAAAACTTACTTTGTTCCTAGAACTTTTTAAGAATACCTAGTCAACATAAATTAGGCCTTTATTCGTACTCAAAAATATTTCAGTCATGTAAAAGTACTTTAGTCTGTTTATCTTGTTACATTGTTTTCTATTTTTATATGAGATATGAAAGATCTTTATATTGGTTTACTTTGGGCTGCTAATAACCAGTGTTAGAAATGAACATTGGGTCTCTTTTGGGGCTGTCATTATAACTGCCTAAATTTTCTCTGCTGTAATCTTACTTGCTACCTAAAATTCTATTGAGGCTTCCCCGTTAAATTTCTGCCTTTCATAGATTTAATTTTAATGAAATGCCAGTCTTTTTTTTCTTCTTAAATAGTAATTTTATCTTACTATCATGGAGAGGGCTTTGTTTATATTGAAAGGAATTTTCACTATTATTGTGAAAGTTATTTGAATTGCCTTATTTCATTACTTTTGATTTTGTTTTATAATAGGCTGATAAATGAATAGGGCATTAAAATATTTTATAATTACTCCAGAGAATTGAGAACTACAGAATTATTTTTCTTTATATTCCTAAATAGGTGGGCTTCATAAACATGACTTTAAAATTAAATAAACTAGTAACATTTAGTAACTTGATGAGTTCCATAAATTGTTAAAATATTCCAAAATGTTTTTCAAAATGAGTATTTTTAGATAAACCAAAAATTGCTTATAAGTCTAAACTCACCTGGTTACCGGTTCTTGGCCAGATTTTATCTTCTGTCTGGAGAGAAGGTTTTGCTATTTGTTTCCAGCTACAGTTGTCAGTAATTATACTTCATATTCTCTTAAGAAATACTTGAATATCAAATTAAAGTTTATCTTTTAATAGCTTTTACAATGGTTTGTAAATAATGTAAAGTTTATCAGTAATTACACTTCATATTCTCTTAAGAAATACTTGAATATCAAAGTTTATCTTTTAATAGCTTTTACAATGGTTTGTAAATAATGTAAAGTTTGTGAAATTGTATTTGAAATGTCAATGTTTATAATTCCTTTTATAACATTGCAAAATAACAGAAAAAAAATGAGCTTCAGTTATTTTCAATAGTTTTCCAAAGATTTGTTAAAATTTTTTTTTTTTTTTTAAATTTCGATTTGGTCCATATTCCCTGTTGGGAATGTATTACATAAAACAGTAAACTAATTTCTGCATTTTACACCAGTTTTATAAATAAAACTTTTCAATTCAGTTGAGCTTGCAAATATCAAGTAGAAATATCCAATTTCTCCTTTTAATGAATGCTCTATCCAGTTAAAACCTCCTGCACTATATAATTTAATACTGAGGAACGTGAAAACCAACCATTTGTTTTTCTGTTGACTAAATACTCAAGTTTCTGTACATATTTACTAACTAATCATGTAAAACTTTTACTTCTATTTTGCCTATTTATCAATGTTCATGTTATAAGGTTGTAACTTAATGCAGCCAGCAATCATGTTTCAAATACATATTTCCAGAATATTATATTTTCAAATGAAATCAACCTCCTGGCTCAAAATGTAAGATAAACTGAGTTTTAAGTTAATATAGCTGGTCTTTACTTTGCATTTATGAGCTATAGTTCCTTTCCCCACATACATTATACATTTTATGGGAAATGTGAGACAATTTAAAGGTCAAGGATACTTAGCATTTCATAGATCATAAAGTGTTATTGCAGGATGTGTCTTAAAATTTAACCCCAGAAAACTACAGCTTCTAGAGAAATTGGCAACTTTTTTACAGGAAGTAAGAGAGTAATTGATTTATGTAGACTTTGTGGACAGTAAGTCTCTGTAAGAACTACTCAGCTCTACCTTTTCGGTGTGAAGACAGCTATAAACAATATGTAAAGAAGTGGGGAAGGGGCAGTTTTCCAACAAAATTGTCAACACTGAAAGTTGATTGCATTAAAAAAAATGGGTATGCTGATACACACCTATAATCCTAGCACTCAGGAGGTGGAGAAAAAAAATGGGTATGCTGATACACACCTATAATCCTAGCACTCAGGAGTGGAGTCAGGAGGATCGGAAGTTCAAGGCCACCTCTGCTTCCCAGTGAGTTCAAGGTCAGACTGGGATACATAAGTAGCTATCTCTACCCTCCAAAAAAAGAAGAAAAAGAAAAATGGTGTTCTCCCATTTTACAGATAAGAAAACAAGTGAAAAGTAGACAAGGAGCTTTCCCAAAGAGAATGTGGTAAATGGAGCCGTTGATTATCATCACAGAAACTTAATAAATCGGGATTTGATATATTATGTATGAATGTGTTTAAATGAGAATGTTTCAGATTAGAGAGATGGCTCAGTGGTGAAGAGCACTGACTGCTTTTGCAGAGGATCTAGGTTCAAATCCAAGCACCTACAATGTGATGGCTAACTCCAGTTATCTTCTGCGTGTCATGAGATTCTTTTGGCTTTCAAGTCATTCTAAAATGTAAAATCCACTTAGCTCAAAGGCCTTCCTTACAGAAAATAAACAACTGACCCAGATTTGGCCCAGCAATCCAGGCTTGACTGTGTCTAGCCTGGTGTACCCCCACCTGTCAGCCTCATCCTGACCTCCAAATGTATTTAGTGTTTACAGCCTACATTATTTGGCACTCTTTCCATCCTCTAATTTCAAGTTAATATCCTTATCAAAACTTTGCTTACAGCTACTAAGCCAATTGGAACTATTATTTCACGTGCTGAAATCAAGTATGAAATTTACAAAGGAATTTAACATTAAAATTCTTTTGCTTATTGTTTGCTTGTCAACAAGTTTGCAGCTTCCTGAAGTCCCATTTAGACATTTCTAACAACTTTGAAAGTGTGAGCATTGTGGGGTTTACTAAAAACATTTCTCAGTCATCCATGGGAGATTCAGCCTTCACACTGCTATTTTTATACACCACTGACAGTCACTTATTACTGTGGTAACATTCTTGAATCAGCACAACATATATAGATATACATAAATGAATTTCGCATGAGGGAATGGCTTGGATGATTGTTGAGGCTCTGCCATCCCATGGTAAGTTCCGGACCCAGGAAAGTTCGAGTTCAAGTCTGCACCTGAGGGATGGAAAACCAGGGCCCTGGCCCACGTCTGAAAGCTTGAGAACCAACAGTCATTCTGTCCAAGGGCAGAACGCTGTGTCTGGAAACTACCGATGGGCTGGTAATCTGGGCACTTGAAAGAATTCATGAGAAAGGCAGCAGAGAACTGTGCACTTGTGTATGCGCAGGCTTTCTGAGGGGCTGTTTTATTGAGTTGGGGGTGTTCTATAGGGCCGTTGGGCAGTGGCACATGTCAGTGTACTCTGGAAGAGCAGCAGTTGGGGCCTGTTAGGGTTAACTCTGAAGTGAGAACAGTCCCACTTACAGACAAAAGCCCTGAACTCAGCCTGCCCTGAGAATACTAGAAGCCTTGTTCTGAGGCTCAGCACAGACATCATTCATCCCAGAATGGTGTCCATACAGATGGTCCAATAAAGAGAATTTTCCCTTTCTTCTTTCCCACCAAGCCCTAAAAGACGTGGATGGGCTCACAGGAAAGGGATATATTTTGTCCTCTTCAATTCTAGAATAGTAGCTTCTAATGTTTTCCAGAAACATTCTTACAGACATGCCCAGAAATGTTTTACCACCTGTCTTGGATCCCTTAGCCCAAACTGACAGTCTTTCAGATAGTTACGGTACTAGGCTGATTTGGGGGATAAAGAGTATGTGTGGCTGAATGGCAAGCTGTCAGAACTAAACCTCACCATTTTACCAGCAGAGAATTTGATAGAATAAAACCAAATTCCATGATATAAGTAAGCATTTATTGGAGAAAATTAGTAAACACAAAAAGGGTCATACAATCTGATAAACTCAGTGTTATCCTAGTTCTGTGTTCTAATCCAGATGCTTCAATCATACTTTCCACACAAAAAAATTCTGTTCAGACAAATGCAACAATATCCCCGTGAAGATATAAATGAACAGTTTACCAAGCCTCATGTCTTAGTTATAAGGCAGAATAGGAGCCAGTCTCTAATTACCCACTATAGAAAAAGTCTAAGGGCTAATAGGAATAGCTTCTAAAGTGCTTAGAGTAGTTCCTTTGGGACTGTGGCCTTTTTGAATGAATGCTAGCTGCCCAACCTTAGAATACAATTCTTTTTAAGTAGCATATTTTTAAAAAGAACAGTATTTAAGAAAGTTAGCTTTATAAAGATAATGTTTTCTGTTACTGTTCACTATTGTGTTCAAAGTGATGCCTAACAGTGAGGGCTCCAATACCTGTTTAACAAGTAAATTTGACAGAAATTTTATTGTTATGGGCACTATAAAAAAATATATGGTTTGGCTCTGAATCATATTTAACAGCAATTAAGAGCGAAACAAATTTGAGGTACACCATATTATTTTAGCGAAATCAAGAGCTTAAAAGAAGATAAGGTTGGAGGTTTGAAGTTTTGCTGCTGGAAATCCTATCTTTATTCAAGGAGGTTGTAGTAGTTTTCAGGATTCACACCAAGCCAAATTCTTGACATCTCAGCAAAGCAATCTGTAAAAACCAAATATTTGTTAACATTTCAAGCCAAATGCAAATCTAGATTGCCTCAGTCACTTAGCTATCCCTAAATAATTTACACTGATAAGGAAAACAAAAGTCTTAAATCATGCATTCTCTACCCAGGGCTAAAAATCATGCCATTAGAAAAAAAAAAAAAAAATCATCGTACTACCAACCAAAATGGCTGGATAAAGGTTTTTTACAGAAATTTCTATCCCTTTCACCACCCTCTCCAACCCTCTGCCTAATTTACCAGAAAATGAGAAATAAGCCTAAGATAGTCAACTCTTGATCAAAATGTAGGGAGAGGGTTACAGATGGAAAAGAAAACAGGAGTAGCCCATTAGGAAGGGCAAATTTGCATCTTCAGTGGTGAGAGATGGGGAGTTTGAGGCCAGAGTAGTGAGTGGACTACAAATAAAAACACAGAAAGTTGCAAATTTTAGAAATAGAGCCTTAAGCATGAAGACCAAGAAGAATGAACTTGGAGAGCATCTAGAATCAAATCCTCCGCCTAGGTGGGAGGCTCTGCTTTGCTGCGCCCCTTCATCCCGGTCTGCTGCTCCCCTGCGCTGGCTCTTGGCTCGGGTCTCGGTCTCGGGTTCCTGTGCCGCTTCCTCCCACCCCGCTGTCCAAATCAGTTTATTTTATCCCCTGCCATAATGCCGTTTTCAGAGTTAAGCTGCAGTGAGGCTCACGGGCATGGATTTGGAAAGCGGGCAGTACAGAACTTGGGGGTCGTTAGGTGTTCCCGGATGCGTGAGAAAAAGAGGTCGGGGAAGCGTCCGGGGTGGAGGAGGTAACCCTTCGTAAAGCTGAAGGTTGGAAGAGACTCCCTGGAAGAGTAGCACAAATGCGCACATTTTAAGACACGGCTGGTCACGTTAAGCTCGCCTGACCTGCTTTTGATCAGTTGTGAAGCCCGTTTAAGCACACACGCTACTGCGCAACACCGACATCACTCGTCGATGTACCCCTCTCCCGCAGTCGGCTGCATCGGTCCAACCGCAGATCAAAACCGCAGGGCTCCGCCGGAAAACCTGCAAGCTCCTGCACCGGCAGCCGTGCCCCGCGTCCTCCCGGCCCGCTGCAGTCTACGCCGCCTCCAGCCGGTCCCCGGCCCTCTCCGGAAGGCGCGCTCGGACACTCACCAGGGCAAAAGGTACACGAAGACGAACACCACCAGGTCGAAAAGGACGAAGAGCCAGACGTCCAACCAGTACGAGTGCTTCGGAAGCCCCTGCGTCCCGGATTGTGGTCGCTCCTCGCTCGGCTCCCTTCCGGCTCCGGCCGAGCCTCTCCGCTCCCGGACCCCGTCGAGACCCGGCGCCGCCCCGCTCACCTCCATCGCCCTGGTCAGTGCCGCGCACCTGTGCACCCGCGAGACGCTCAGCTAAGCGCGTCCGCTATGGCGGCTCCAGAAGCAGATTCAAGCAGACACACCTCTTCGATGCCGCGGAGGACAGCGGCAAGCCCCGCCCGCCCAGCTTCGCGCATGCGCCCTGATTCTCCTCGGGTCTGCGCAGGCGCCTGTGCCTCACACCGGGTCCTCGCGCCAGAGGCCGGACCCTGCAGCGGGGTGTCTGGCCGGGGCTTCTCTTCCTTACATCGTGACAGACCCAGCGCATAAAACTGGCTTTTCTTGGAAGAAGAAGTCACTGTTACATGCTTTGCATGGAGCGATGGCTGAACTTCGGGAACCGCCACCAAGCGTTTCCAGTTGGTGAAACCCAAGATGGGTGGGGAGCTGCTGCTGCTCGGCGGCTCTCCTACACCTGTACACCTGTAAGCCTTTTGGATTGCGCCCCCCACGTGTTAGAAAGGCTTGCCTGGATGGGTTTGTACAGCCCTGAGCGGCTTACTAGGATTTAATCTTTGGAACAGTTCTAATGAGGTGAACATTATAATTAGGAATGTAAATTTTTCAAGGGACTAGAGAAGGTAAATATAAGAATGGTGTAGGAATCTCATGAGAGTGTGTTTAATAATAATGTAAGGTTGGGTATGGCTCCAGGAAGAATGGGAAAAGAAACTGATTGTAATTCCGGTACAATACAATAAATCCTGAATTTTTAAAAATGTTTTCTTTATTTTATTTTATGTGTATGAGTGTATTGCCTACATGTATGTGAGTGCCTGCAGAGGACAGAAGAGGCTGACGGATCCCCTGGAACTGGAGTTACGGACAGTTGTTAGCTGTCATGTGGGTGCTGGGATTCGAACCCGGGTCTTCTGCGAGAACAACCAGTGTTCTTAATCGCTGAGCCATCTCTCCAGCCACAAATCCTGAATTATTTAATAAAGCAATCTAGATGTACAAGTTGGTTCTGTTAGGAGCTCTGTTAGGAGCTATGACTGTGCAGTTGTTTTTAACATGAACCACTATTAATAAAACCTGGAGCTGGGATCATTTTGCAGGTTTAGAAAACGGAACAAAAGGAATGAATTGACCAAGGTACTAAAATAGTCGTAAAACGAACTCCAAATTAAACATTCTCATCCTATTATACAGTTACCTAATCTTGCTTCAATTTACCTCTAGTTTCTTGTATAACAATACAGACAATAGTACACAACTGTGGAGAAAAATACCTTATTATTTACTGTGCAGATTATAAGACTGAGAGCCGTTACTGGACGATTAATTGGATTCTGACAGATTATGTGTTGTTAGTGGATTAGAAAAACCTTGGGTTTACAAAAATTAGGAAAAATACTTGAATTGCTGAATGTTCCAGAGATAGAAACTTCTCTCAGCCAAGGTAAGATTGGTTGCCTCTAGTTATTAAAATAGTACTGATAAAAATTGAATTTATTAAAGTAGAACTCATGACAGAAACTAAAAGAGTGCACATGCCCGTATACACACATTATACACAATATTTTAAAATTAGAAAACACTGAAAGGCAACAAAAAAAAAGATATAAGTAACATCTGTAGACCTGATGGAGTGCAGTAAAGATGATGCTGAAGGGACGATGACCTATCTGTAAGCCTCGAGGAAACTGGAAGAGGAACAAACTGAGCTAAAAAATACTAGGAAAAGAGAAACTAGGGTTGAAATAAGTAGATGATAATGGAATCAGATGAAACCAAAGTTGTTTCTTTGGAAAGATCAAGAAAATGGCAAAGCTTTAGCTGGGGTGACAAAGAAGAAAGTGAAAAGACCCACTGTAACATCCAACCTAAAAGTGGAGCTGTTGCTAACGATCTTACAGAAGTAGAGGATTTGTAAGACAATGTTATATTTACTGACAAGTTAGATAACCTACATGAAATATGTATATTTGAAAATACCAGTCACCTAAACTAACTAATGAAGTAGAAATCTCAGTAGACTTATTAGAAGTAGAGATTGAATTAGAAGTCAAAACCTCTGAACAGAGATAGGACCAGATCACTTCTTTGGTGAATTCTATTAAACTTTTTTTTTTTTTTTTTTTTTTTAAATCAGACAGGCCCTTATACCTGAGGCTGGCCTCTAATTTGCTATGTAGCCAAGAATTGCCTTGAACTTCTGATCTTCCTGCCTTCATCTCCTCAGTGCTTGGGATTACAGGCTGGTGCACACAAACTTGACTATGCAATGTTGAGAAACAAACCCAGGGTCTCCTAAATGCTAGGCAAGCACTCTACCAATTGAGCTGTATGCCCATCCCCTTAACTAAATATTTAAAGAAAGACATATGCTAGACTTTTTCAAGTCCTCCTAAAACAAACAAAAGTGAGAACCCTTCCTGACTCATTCTGTGAAACCAGTATTCTGATAACAAAGGTAGATAATGATATCACAAGAAAATGGCAGGTTCTGGCACACCTGTATTTATACCACTTCTGTTCCCCACAGCCAGCTTCACCAAGAGATGAATGGATAGGGGCTGGAGAGATGACTCAGTGGTTAAGACAATTGGCTGTTCTTGCTGAGGACCCAGATTCAATCTCCAGCACCCACATGCTGGCTAACAACCATCTATAACTCCAGTTCCAGGGGATCTGATGCCCTCTTCTGACCTCCACAGGCATTACATGACATGGTGCACTTACATTGAATGAAGGCAATATACACGCATACACATAAAATTTAAAAATACTTTTCTAAAAGAGATGAATGGATAAACGAAATGCACACAATGGAAGATCAGCCTTGAAGAAAATCCTGTCACAATACTACAGCATGGATGAACATTGAAGACATTATGCCAAGTAAAATAAACCAGTGACAAAAAGAAAAATAGTATATGATTCATGAAGCATCTAAGTAGTCCTATTCCCAGAAACAAAGTGGAACGAGGGAAAGAGTATGGAGTCTTGTGAATGGGTTAGGGTCACAGTTATACAAGATGAAAAAGCTCTCGAGATTTTGTTTCACCACAATGCAAATATATCTGGTATTACTAAGCTGTACATTTGAAAATAGTTAAGGTGTAACATTTATATTATGTGTTTTTACCACACTACAGTAAAAAAGAAAGGTAATTAATACAATATCACTTGTGAATATAGATTTTAAAATCTTTCTTGTACACCAAACCTGCCAGCACCTTGATCTTGGCTGGCATTTTAGCTGCTAGGAAATTTCTGTTATTTTTCAGGCATTATCTAGTCTCAGGGATTTTATTATTATTTATTATTATTGCATGTATGTATGATGTGTGTGAGTACCTGTGTGCCATGTTGCGTATGTAGTGATCAGAGAATAACCTTAGGGAACTGGTGCTTTCCTTGTACCATGGGTTCCAGAATTTGAACTGTTTGTCGGGCTTGTGCACCACCCTCCCTTACCCGTTGTGCCATCTCTCTGACAATCTCAAGTATTTTATTAGCTGGGACTCTCAGAAGTCCATTCCCTCTTGTCTTTATGTCTTAATAGGATTTCTGAAGGCCTAAAAGGGTGATGTTTTCAGATGCTGAGAAAATTAGAGCTAGTGGGAAAGCTTGGCAGACATGGAGTCTTGTGAGGTAGAAGACCCCTAAGCCCTTCCAGCCCTCATGCTGCAGTTTATAGTTATGAACATGAAGTAGAGACTGTGTTGTTCCTGGACCCATAGCTGGACCTCAGGCCATCCAGTACATGCTCTAGGATCTGATTGATTAAGCCCCACATTCTTCAAGTGACTTCTGTGGCTATTTCAGGAGACACCACTCGTTGACTTCCTGAAAGAACTACTGGGACCAGAAGAGTTTAAGTGCTGTTGTATTGGACTAAGAGTGAGCTGGTGAGCCTTGATCTAAGTACAGAGCACAGAGCTAGTGGCACACAGACCATTAGGTTTCCATGAGGATTTCTTGTGAGGTGGAGGACCCTTAAGCCCTTCCAGCCCTCATGCTCCAGTTTATAGTCCTAACAATCCTGAAGCAGGTGGATTGCTGAGCTGAACACAACCCTGGCTCCTTAGTGAGCTCTAGGCCAGTGTGGGCCACAGGGTAAAACACTGTCTCAACTGCCCTTAACAAACCACAAACTTACAATGTTCTTAGAACACAAGAGAAAACAAACAAACAAAAAACCAATTTCCTCCTATACCGGATGCTGACAAGTGTGTACGTGAAGACAGTTTGCTCACTTAAATTGTTAGAGTATTATACCAGTTGATCACAAAGTTGAAAAAAAAAAGTTTCTTGGTTTTAAAAACATGATTCGTAAGAGGCAGAAGATGATACTTAAAAGATTGACTATATGTGGATTTATAGAAATGGGTAATGATTCTGTAATGAACAGGGTGGTAATAAGAATAGTACTTCAGGGGCTGGGAGATGGCTCAGAGATTAAGAGCACTGACTGCTCTTGCAGAGGACCTAGGTTCAGTTCTCAGCACTCACATGGTGGCTAAGAACCATCCTTAACTCCAGTTCCAGGGGATCCATCCGTTACCGCCTTCTGACCACCACAGGCATTGTATGATATGGATGTACTTACACACATGCAGGCAATACACTTGTACACATAAAATAAAAATAGTAAATATTTTCGAAAAGAATAGTATTTCAGTGGCCTGAAGCTTTGCTTCTTCATAATTTCTATGTAAAGCAGGCTTATAACAACTTTGTTTTCATAGACTTACTGTCACCTGGGTATGAAGATCCCCTAGAAAACAGGTAATGAGTGAGATGTTGTCACTGGTAGAATAATTCAGTTCTTAGTTCATGCAGATTAAATAGATTAGTAGTGTCTAGGCCTTAGAAAACTGAGAAATGACGAGAACAGAGGGCATAGTTTTCAGCGACTAGTTTGCCTCGCAAAATCTTTCACAAATTCAGCTCAAAAGAAAGAGGCTGTTGTTTGCTTCATAAAACTTGCTCTATTACATTCTTCTGCAAGCTCAATCCTGCATAGATAGTGTTGGGCTATTGATGTTAACAGAGTCTAGAAACTCACAGTACTTTCAGTACTACTTCAAAATGGCCCTGAGACCATGGCTCCAAACCCTGGGCTCTTAACTACCATAAAATTCTATCCAACATGCAGTACAGACTTAGA